AGATGCATTTTAAATAAAATGACACATTCTACTCATGTAAAAACACGCTGATTCCTGGACCATCCGTGGGCTGGATTGAGAAGGCAATTGGGCTGCATCTGGGCCCCGAGCCTTAGGTTGCCTAGAGGTTTGCTGAAGGACTGAAACATTCAAAAAATTCAAACCAGCTATATACTAAGGATCCACACACCAGCATCCTAGATAGTTGGGTAGGCTTGTTGAAACAAACATGTTCATAGCAGGTGCTGGAAAGAACACAGTGAAGGAGCCTGCCTGGTCTCAAGAGGCAGGGAGTTCCCAAGTATGGGTGTTGCCACATTCATAATTGATTCTTGCAGTTGCAGACCAGGTACTATGTGGCCCCTGAAAACCATGCCAGTTCCGCCTATCTGAGAAGTCGAGAGGCTTTTATGAGGCAAGGCAATCTTGCAGGCTGATAAGTTTATGTGTGTGTGCCAACCTCTATTTTATTGTTGTAGGTGTTTCTGGGATTCCTTAATCTTCCCAGCAGAGAGGTGGGTTACCCACCCTGCTGGTCTGTCAGTATATAACATATTTTAAAACCCGGGGATGAGAGCTGCCTCCCGCCTGTCGGCTGAGCGTTTCCCCATGAGAACCTAAGAAAAGCTCTTCTGGATCAAAGGCCCGTCACATCCAGCATCCTGTCCTCGCAGTGGCCAGTCCTTCCTCATAGGGAACTTGCTCCACCCCCTTAATAATTTGGGAGGCCTTTTTCTGAACCATTTCTGAATCCACTTTGCCCTCTCATAGCATAATATTGCAAAATGTGGATTCCTCCAAGATGCCTTTGGGAGGCGAGGTGAGTATACTTCAAATGCTGCTTCCCTGGAGCTTTGCATCGTCTCCTTCTGCTCTCCATCGCTCTCCTAACTGCCCCTTGGTCTGGAACCCCCTTTTCCACAACTGGGCTGACATCTTTGCTGAACTATCCATTATGAGCATTGTAACGGAGGTGAGCTCCCTGGCATCCCTGAGAGATGGCACTTTCTTGCCCCATCAACACACACAGTTTAATACTGGTGAGAGCCTAGCTCCTCATCCCTCTGAAGGGTCTCTCTGAAGCTCAAAGTGTTTAAAGAAAATTCTGTTTCGGGTTAGTCTGTAACTAAGAAGATAAAAGGCAGAATGTACAGCAATTTTAACTCCCCTGAGGTGGTGGAGCCTCTCTTTTGTAACAGAGAGGTGAGAGGAGGGGTCAGCCAGCCTGCTTGAAATTCCTTTTTGCTTGCAATAATTGGCTGCTCCAGACAGGAAACTCATCTCCCAATGAAATAGAGTTATTCAAAAGCATGGAAGTGGCTTACAAAAATGTGCGGCTGATACTTTCCCAGCTCAAATTGTTTTGCAACATGGCCATTTGCAGATAGCATGGGGATTTGGGAGAGGAGGCTGCAAAGCACAAGGCCTTGAAAATGTCTGAGTAATAATACCCAAGAGGGACAGACACAACCCACCAGGAAGGTCTCCTGCACAACTTCCTCCTCCAGTTCTGGGTTCACCACCTGGCTTGCAAAACTATTCAAATCCTACAAATCACAAACTTAGAAGGAACCTCAAAGGTCATCTAGCCCCAACCACCTGCTGCTGATTTACTACAAAGAATCAGAGTAAATAAGTCAGACTGCATTTTCCTGCCCCCCTCCCAACTCATTTCCATGAGTTCTGGTGTCAGGAGAGAGAGAGAAAATATTTTCTCTATTCACTTTCTCTGTGCCATGCACAATTTTATAAATGTCTCTCATGTCTCTATCTCCCCTTTTCTCTAAAAGTCCCAAATGCTGCAAGCATTCCTCATAGGGAATGAGGAATGAGCACCCTGGATCGCTTTGGTCCCCCTTTCTCTTCTGAGCCTTTTCCAACTCTGCAAAATCCCTTTTGAGATTGGCAGCCAGAATCACACCATAGATTTGTATAATGGCATGATTTTATTGGCATTTTATTTTCCATCCCTTTCCTAGTGGTCGGTCTAGCTCAGCCCAAGGGATACTCTTTGTGATGCTGTCACTCACAATGGTGTGAAAGAAATCAAAGAAACCTGGGTTGCATTTTGCAGATGCCTCTTGCCTTGAGTGTTTGCTTCTGCCAAAGCAAGATAGATGTGGGGTCGGGGTCAGGTGGGGGCCCTTTTGAGAGAGCCACGGCCCTGCCTCCCTCTGACAGCGACCACCTGCCTACCTCATGGAAGCAAATTTATCTCGCCCGCCTCTGCTGGGATCAGCTTAGTGCTTCCCTTCCCTTCCTTTCTTTTTATCCTTTAAGCTGGAGGGATACGATAAGGGTGACCCCTGTAATCACTGGGAAATTCTCACCGCTAAACTCCACCAGATGTTGCTCTGCTCTGGCTGCGCAATCCACTGCACCACCCCAGCCTCATTCGCTGGGGCTCCTGTCTCCATCCCCAGCTCTGGTGTCCCTCTCCCAGAGCAAATGCTGACACAGAGTCCACCCCTGAGGTTGTTGCAGAAGTCCTTCCAGCTGCCTTCCATAGATGTCCTCATCTGCCAGTGCTGAGGGCACCCTGGAAGTTTGTGGAATTGATAAGTGGATCTCATGACCTGGGACCCAGGTGGATGTCATGGCCTACGACATGCACACCAATGTTCACACCTCTGTCGCAGAGTACATTCCTGATACATGATTGACCTCTGCCTGCTAAGTGCTGAGTCTGCATAAACACGTTCTCACAGCCACAGCCACAAGGTATCTGTATTTTGCTGGCATTGCACCCATTGTAGGCCTTTCTTGTCAGCTTCCAAAGCAGAGAAGAGCAAGCTAACCTTGAGGAGAAGAAATACTGGGGAATCTTCAATAATGAGAAACGGTAGATTCTCCTCACCCAGACAAGTCTTCATATAGCAGATAGCAGAAAAGCAATATTTTGTATAAACTTTGCTTAAAGATACCTGTAGCCATAGTAATTAGGGGCAGGCTGTTCTGACCAATGAAATTTGTTTTAGGGGTCCACAAGCTGTCCATGCATTCTGTTATCCAATCATATTGCTGAAAAGGATTGTGCACAAGGTGATCACACATGTAAATATTATAAAAGTGTCTTGAAATTTGAATTCAAGATCTAGAATTTGGAGAATTCCTCTGGATCGGTTATTTTTGCTGCAGCCTGCAATAGATATGAACTCTGCTGTCTTTATTTGGCTAAAGAGGACTGGCGTATTTCCAGACCCCCTTTGTAGAGTAATGGAATCACAGAACCTCTGTGCTCAGAGATCTGTGCTGGTTGCCCCTCTGCTGCCAGGCCAAGTTCAGGGTGTTACCATTACATGTCCTCCAACATTTGTCTGATGAAAATATATATCCCTCCCATCTGACTGAGAGGCCCCAGCCACTCTGGGCGGCTTCTAACATATATAAAAACATAATAAAACTATACAGGGCTGCCTTCAGATGCCTCCAGGATCAAATCAGAAACTGGGACGGCTTCTGTAAATCTGGGACTGTCCCTGGAAAACAGGGACACTTGGAGAGTCTGCCCTTAATATAAAGGTAAAGGGACCCCTGAGCATTAGGTCCAGTCGTGACCAACTCTGGGGTTGCGCCCTCATCTCGCTCTATAGGCCGAGGGAGCTGGCGCTTGTCCACAGACAGTTTCCGGGTCATGTGGCCAGCATGACTAAGCCGCTTCTGGCGAACCAGAGCAGCACACAGAAACACCGCTTACCTTCCCGCCAGAGCGGTACCTATTTATCTACCTGCACTTTGACGTGCTTTCGAGCTGCTAGGTTGGCAGGAGCAGGGACCAAGCAATGGGAACTCACCCCGTCGTGGGGATTCGAACCTCCAACCTTCTGATCGGCAAGCCCTAGGCTCTGTGGTTTAACCCACAGCGCCACCCACGCCCTGCCATTAATATACAATGCCCTTAAGAACTTGGGACCAGTTTACCTGCGAGATCACCTCACCCCATATACGATGCCTGTTTGAATGCTTCAAACAGCAGAAGTGGCCCTGTTACAAAGGCTGCATAATCCCCGTTTTACATTTGTAAGAATTTAATATTTTAGTGTGGCAACAACTTTCCTTTGGACCTGTCTGATCATTCACAGCACTCTTTCAATGCCTGCTAAGAGCATTTTTGTTTAGACAAGCCTACCCACATGTTTAGAACGCTGACACAAGTTTTAATATGTTTTAGTTTATTGTTATTTTAATTTTTCAAAAGTCTTACATTGTTGTTATTAATTCTTCTTAGGAATCATTTTATTACTATCTTTTTAGTAAACTGCTTTTTTAAGCAATCCAGCAGTGTATAATTTTTATGAAATAAAAAATGAAATAAATAAAACAAGTCCAATCCCCAATGGCAACAGCATCTCCAGAGAACGCTGGGAGACACTCTCTGCCTGACCCTGGAGAGACCCTGTCAGTCCACAAGGACGAGACAGAGCGAGATGCACCGAGGGTCACACTCAGTAGATGGCAGCGTCCTATGTTCCATGTAGCTCAGTATTGCCCACACTGACTAGCAGCTGCTCTCCAGGGTTTCAGTCTGGCAGAACTGCATCCCTACTTGTACCTGAAGATGCTGGGGATTGAATCTGGGACCTTCTGCACTCTAAGCAGGTGCTGTACCACTCGGCTATTCCTCCCTCCCCTCTGCATTTTTTCTGTGCATGTGCTCCAACTGCCCCTACTAACCAGGCACAATGGGTATTTTTTACGACGTATGTACACTGTTTAGATATATATTACATGTTAGTTTTCCAAATAAAATTAATTTCAACAATGGTGGTGATAAAGGAAAGGCACTCTGCACATGATCAGAGGCACTCTGCTTAAGCATTGCTGCTTTGCATGGTTCAGAGCTTACACAGAAAGCAAGACTTGAGGGCTCCAGCTCAAACTGAGCGCAGACCAGCTTTGATATTTGGGTCCGGGTTAGCCTAGTCAGGTGGGGGCTCGCACACTCACACCCACACCCTGATATAGGCTAGGGCTGGGCTGCCTCCCTCTTGCATGCCTACCTGCAGTTCCACCCCATATCCAGTGTAGACAGTCACATTGTAGGTGCATTCCAGGAAACGGTTCCACGGCAGAGGTGGGTAGTCAGTTGAGTCTATGTATCCTTCCGGCTCGTAAAAATTCACGCCGCAGAGAACTGGAAGGAAACTCCATGTTAATCATAGACTGACCTACCCCATAAAATCCATAACCAAATGTCCACTAAAGTCTAGGCTATAACCAACCAGGCACTAATTCCCCTTAAAAGATTCATTTGTTTGTTGTCAATTGTTGTCAGGGCTAATGCCCTCCATATAAACTTTACAATGCTTACTAAAAAATTAAGTAAAAGCATAATGTGCTTTGGGGAAAAAATGGGTTGGAGGCCTTGTTATTCCCCTCCCATCTAAGAGCCATACCACTCTACCCAGTTCTGGGAGTGGGTTGGGACAGTTAAATGCCAAAAGTAAAGGAGTGTTTAGTGGTGGGGAGGAGTCCATTTGGGATGGCAGGGCTGAGAAGGAGAAAGAGGCAGTGGTTTGCTTGGGACCCTTCCATGTTGTGGGACAGACTACAGCCCAGGCCAGAACAGAAACCAACATCTGGAGGTCCACAGATTCCCCATCCCTGGCTGACGCTGACTGGCAGTGGCCCTCAAGGGTCTCAGGCAGAGGGTCTTTCCCAGACCTATGCAAAGCTGCTCCCATTTGCTTTCTGCAAGCAAAGCAATTATTCTGCTGATGCTCTGTGGCCTCTGTCAAATGCACATGGTTCCTCTCTTCATGCCTCTACCCTTCTGCCTTTGCCCTCCCCATCTGCTGTCCCAAAGACAAATGGCCGTTTAGCAAATGCACTGACCATCTGGCAAGTCAGCTGTCTCCCACTGCCCTGCAAATTTGTGATAAAGCAGCAGCTGTGACCACCCCAACTCTCAGAAGAGGGGCGGGTAACATGGTGCCCACTAGAGGTTGTTGGCCTCCAAGTTCTATCATCTCTGACCCTTCTTCACTGATGGGATTTGGAGTCCAGCATCCTCTGGAGGGAACCCCGTGGGCGACCCCTGCCTCAGAGTATGGGAAGGCAAAGGAATTTGGTAACGAGGGGAAGTCCCCAGGGGGCACAGGCAGCCCCTGGAATGACTTTGGCTAACACCACTTTCCCTCCCTGCGGACCTCTTGTGTGCAAACCCAGCATTTCTGTCACAATGACATCATTGCAGAAGTAAGATGTCTTACTTGGAGTTTGCTCAGTGGTGATCACAGTGGGGGTGATGATGGTGGGTGTGGTTGTGTCTCGGCTCTCCTTGGAAAAAGGCCCCCTCTTCGTTTCATCCTCTGAGCTCTTGACCGGAATCTGGGCTTCACCCTCTGGAAAGGCAGCCACAAGCGGCTCTGTGGCTTTGGGGCCGTGAAACAAGGTCTGTGGGATTGTCGGCTGCATTGTAAATGGTGAGATTTGAAACAGGGAGTGACTAGTCACCTCACGGCTTCCTTTCCTGCTGCCCCATGAGGTCTGCTCTGGCATTGTGGGCTTCTCCTTGTGAACTGTAGCCATCATGTCATTGTTGTCCCCCCAAGTGTGCAAGTGGTCTCTGGAAAGGGATGCTCTCGATGTTGGCAGGCTGGGCTGGGCAGCAGCTGTTGTGGTTCTGAGTTTCTGATGTTTCCTGGCTGTGTTTCCTTGCTTGGAAGAGGATGGCTTCTTCTTGGAAGGTTGGATGTGTCTCGTGTTGGTGTAAGGGGGAGCTGTCAGTTTTGGGGACTCACCCATCTTATTCATTGGGAAAGCAAAGATGTCCTCTGTTGACAGAATGAGACTCTCAGGGGTAGGGTATCTTGACTCCATGTTCTCTCTTAGCAGTGTGTTGTTGGTGAACTCATCCGAGTGGTGTGGGAATGCCTTCAAAGAGTCCCTCTCCAATCCAGAGTTTATGCCTGTAACAGAAGGTCCAGAGAAAGAAACTTAAAAGCTCTGGCGTGCATTAGGTACATTTGCATTGAAGGGGGTTGGACTAGTTGCCCCTTGGGGTCTTGGCAGAGGCCAGGAACACTTTGCTCATCTCATAGGATCATAGACTAGTAGAGTTGGAAGGGACCCCAAGGGTCAACCAGTCTAGCCCTCTGCAATGCAGGAATAACAGAGTCTTTCCTCCCCAGGTAAAGGTGGCTTTCTTCCAGACCTCTTGGCATCTGTAGCATTCCCAGCTTCAATGTAGGTTTGCCAGCCTGGGGCCCTGCAGCTGTTTTAAGAGCACAACTCTCACCAGCCCTAACATCCTCTGCCTGGGTTGGTTGGGGCTGGTGGCAACTGCAGGCCAAAACATTCGGAGAGAAAAGGCTACTCTAACGCCTCCAAAAGATGGTGGGCAATGGCTTTCACTCAAGATCTGAATGTAGCCCCACATGCTGAACCTACTCAAGTTAAGCAAGACAGTTGACTTGGAAACTACCAGTAAGCTATGTCAAATCTCAGGTGCTTGCATCAAAACCCAGAGCTCTTTAAAAGCTCTTTCTCTGTATACAGATAGTGGGCATTTATTTCAATGTGAAAATAATAACAATTTATATGCTTGGTAGGAAAGTGCAGTATCCTCTTGGGTCAGGAAAACTTTGCCATTCAGCATCAGCACCTGATCAGGAAACTGGCCGTGCAGGACTTGCTGTAGTGATGCAATGATCCTAAACAGGACTAAATGGCCGCAAGGTGTCATTGCCTCTTAGTCAATGGCTGTCTGCTTGGAACTGGTCCCAGGAAAGACATCTGAAGGCAGCCCTGTTTAGGGAAAATTTTAATGTTTGAAGTTTTATTCTGTTTTAGTCCTCTGTTGGTAGCCACCCAGAGTGTCTGGGGAATAAATAAAATCATCATCATCATCATCTTTGCTCAGTCAGAGATTTTCCATGTCTGGCATACTAATGGGTAATTTATTTGCTGTCTTAAAAAAAGGCCCTTCACCTGTGGTTTCACTTGGGGTTGAGGAGAAGTGCCACCTTCAAAAAGCAAATATAGAACCGCCACATGCACACACCAATCCACAGATACGACAAATCCCCTCCTGCATTTCAAGCCTCTCGTTTCACCTCAACCCAAAGCAAAGAAGCCCACTTGCTTTCACAGAAAATCTTAAGTTGAGTGAGATTTGGCCAGAGTGGGTTTAGCACTCTTCCCATGTACGTGCCATCAGACCAGAATGGCTAAATGGTTGTTTGTGCTCTTCCTCTACAGTTTTAACGCTTTTGCTTGAGCTGCTATGGCAAATTGTTTTCCATAAAAGAGGCTTTAGAAGTCACCTCTGTGGAGCACAGTGGGTGGGAAGAGAGCCCAGTGCCCCTCTTAGCTGCCCTGCCCTCAGTACAGAGAGGAAGCCAATAATAAAGAGCAATAGTGACAATGGCAGGCTGATGAGAAAAGTGGCATTCCGCTGCCTTGCTGCCATAGCTCTCTTTCAGTGCTAAGGAAACTCTGGAAGGTCGGGGAAGTGTGCGTGGGTGATGGGGCTGCTGGCGTTTTTGCAGTTCTGAATGGGCTCCTAGGTTCCAAGAGCAATCTCCATGCTGGGTGCCTGCACCAACCTACGCACCACGTCAGAAAGCCCACGCTAATGTTGCCAGGGGGTGCATCCAAGTGGAATCCCCCTAACCGAGCAATGCTCTCAAGGGAAAGCGACTGCAGGAACCCACTTGATGAAATAATTTCTGAGCTGGTTAAAATGGAAAAAACAAGGGAACTTGAATGTGCGCAAATAAAGAAACTTTCCTTTTGAACCCTTTCAGACTCCTGTGCCTCCTTCACCTTATCACGTTCCTTTATCTTTGAAAGGAGGCAGAACAGGGGGGAGATGAATGAGCATGCAAGGCAGGAAAAGGCTGCCTTCAAAATGACACTCCCCACCTTGTGGCTTTGAGCTGTCTGTGCTTGTGCTCCAGTTTGGTGGGAACAAGCATCTTTCTCCACACCCCCCCCCTTGATTTCTTTTTTAAAATATCAACTCCACCAGATATTGGGCTGCAGGCTCTTAATTTCTTAAGTAAATCAGTTGAATTGTTTAATCAAATTAGTTAATGCTCTCTAGGCCTAAACTCAGGACAGCACACTGAAAGGCAAATGTTCTTTCATTGCTGCAGACTTGGTGATTAAACTTTAAGAAAGGATAAAACATACATTGCAGGGTTTGCTGGGTAGTGATGATCAGTTTTGGTGAGGCATGGCACCCCCCCCCCACCCCCAGTAAAACACCCCATCCTCTGAAGCTTGTGGAGAAATTTCACTGTCCTGTCCCCCCCCCCACACACACTTTGGCCAAATGGATTTTATGGCAAGGAGATGACATTAAATAAATGTCAGTCTCTTGTCAGGCCCTCAAACAAGAACCAAGCAGATGCTGCTGCTGCTCCTCCTCTTCTAACTTGCCTTCAGAGCTGTGTTATGGCAAGGGCGAGGGCCATTTGGGCTGGTGTAAGTAGAGTGTCTGTGCCAGAACCACCTTTGGCTTCTCCTTGCCATCCTTGGCCAGCAATCAATGGATTTGGGAAGTTTCCTGAATGTAATAAGTTATTGAAACCCACGTTGGAAACCTGTGAAATCCATACATTGTGTCAGTTCATTGATTGGTGCTTCTTTGTTTGATGTTTTGAATAGAATTTATTCTCACTGTAAAATAATTGATGGCCAGAGAACATTTGGCGTTGCCCTGAGAAAGCAGCAAGGAATTGTTGAGTACCCAGGATGTAGGGGACTCGAGCATCAGATCTTGCTGGGTGTTGGTGTCACTGGCAGGCAGCAGAAGCATTTCTTGGCTGCGTATGAAAACCTCAGCGCCTGTGTGGTCTGGACCTTTTCCAAAGCTGCAGGTGCTCAAGCTCTCCCCGCTGGAAACAGAAGGAAGAGGTTGCCATTTCTTTGATAAAAGCGGCTTTATCTCATTAGTCTTAAGAACTAAATCATAATCTTGTTGCAATTAATTACATAAACACCAGGCAAGGATGGGAGTGATAACCAGGAAGGCAGGAAATGCTGATGGAATTGGCAGATTCCCTGCAAGGCAGTAAGCTGAAGGATTTGTGGTGCATTAACGAACATGCAGAGAATTGCCAAAATCTGGTGGAAGGGGGATACATTATCTCTCTGAAATTTGCAAGATGGAGACATTTCTGTGGCCAGCAGAAGTGACTAGGAGCTTTGCAATTGCTAATCCTGCTCATTCTAGCATACCCACAATTTGAGGTGGGGGATAAATTCATTTGACAAATTTGTACTTCCCAAATAAATAGGTAAACAGAAATGCCTGTTTCTGTTGTGGGTCTCCAAACCGCCCAAATGCCTTGTCAATCCAAAGGATGCAGACAAATATGCCTGTGTAAGAGGAAAGTGTTCTGGTGAAAATAATGCACAGAAATGAATTGCATTAAGGAAAACTGAAATGTCTATATACACAAAATGTGTCCAGATGCTTATGTGAACTCTTCTTCTTTGAAAAAAATTGCCTGAATTAGGCCAATGGCTCATCCTGTTTTCACAGCGGTCACCCAGATGCTTGTAGGAATCCCACAAGCAGGACCCGGGCACAAGAGTCATCTTTCCTCCTGAGGTTTCCAACAGCTGGCATTCAGAGGCATTGCTGAGATCAGCTGTGGCGGTGTAGAACATGGTGCCCGTGCAATTTCCAACCTGATAGGCAGAATTTCAGTGGCAAGAACAGAGAAATGCCCACTGGTGTGTGTGTCATTCCTAATGACTGGGTAATGGGTAAGGAGCCCATCACAGTGATGGATGGATAGGCAGTCTTTTGCTGCTGTTGATCCTCTTGGATTTTCTAGATGACTCTGCTCCACTCAGGAGCACTGTGAGGAATGAGCTCTGGAAACCCATTACCCTGAAATTGAGCTATTTCCTAGGAATGCAAGAAGCTGTTAAGGGAAATAAATGGCTCCTTTCACTAGTTTTCTTTCAGTAAATGGCTCAGCAAAAGAAATAGACAGCTCCTGCTGCATTCGACCAAAACTGATGATGGGAGATGGCAGCTCTGGGTCTAGCAGGAGGGGAAGCTAGAGGGAGTTGGGAGAAGCAACCTCCTCACCCCATGCCAAAAAAGTCCTCCCTACTACTTTCCAGATGGACCGGATTCCCTCCTCTTGGGGTACAATGGCTGGATCAGGCCAAAGGGGGCCTATCTAGTCCACAATTCTGTTCTCACAGTAGCCAACAATGCAAAGCTTGTCACCAACATCACGAGCAAAAGGCTGAGTCCTGGTCTTCCTCAGAGCAGACCCATTGAAAGGAATGGGCACCTTTGGTCCATTTATTTCAATGGCTCAGCCTCTGGGTCAAATTAGCATTGGATACCACCCAATACAGAGTCATCATGACTGATAGGAACTGATAGCCTCCTCCTCAGATTGGCCTAATCACATTTTAAAGCCATCTGTGTTGGGGGCCATCCTTACATCATGCGCCACAGTAACTCAGAAGTGCAGGTGCAGTGCTGAGAGCAAAGAAACCTTGATTCTGTGTCCACCTCCCACCTCTGCGCAGGGTCTGTCATGGAGGAATCTTGCAAGGACAGAGCCAGACTACATTTCTCCAGCAAATCCAGCAGAGGGGAGTCCTTCGCTCCCTCTGGTCCTGAGGCAGTCTGTTCCGCAGCCAAACAGCCCTTACCCTTAGGATGTTTCTCTGAATCTTTCATCAGAATTGCTTTGCCGCCATTTCTGCCAGAGTCCTGCTCTCTGGAGTGACCAAGAAGTCTGCTCCATCTTCTGTCTGACAGTCTGTAGGGACGCCTTGCTTTTGAGGTGAGCGTGGTCATGCTGGGGCTATCCAAAGTATCTGTAGGGCACCAGGTTTGCAAAGGCTGCATTAAATAATCACCTCAATATTTGGAGTTAACATGCAACTTGGAAGCTTAGCCAAGTCAGGTTACTCATGGGCCAGGTCC